AATAATTATTTTAAATATAATTATATCTTTATAATTCCTCTTAGGTAACTCTTGTTTTCATTTTTCACTGGTTTAATATAATTTAGTGAAAAGTATTTTATTTTACATTATTCTTTACATTCTTTACAGTCCTGTTTCAAAGGGTCTGATCCAGCAACCTGTCTCTCTGCCTCTTGAGCTCCTAACAGGACATTATTTTCCTCTCTGTCCTCAGTGTCCGTCTTTGGGAGATGATGGCAGGGGAAAAGAGAGGACTCCAAATCTCCGACACGACCATTAGTCCACTGTAATCTCTAAAGCCTTCCCAGGAGGATCCTGGAGGGAATTTCTATTGAGGGATTCATCAGCTATGCCTTTATTTATAAGCCTGTCATGGCAATCACAAGAGTCACAGATTCATTTTGTGTAATATTTCAAAACAGTTAATAAGCCATAGAGACAGTGCTATTGTAAAATGTTCTTCAACACTTAACTATCTCATATGAACTGCATGGTTAACCTAGACTGAGCACAAACGTCTGAAAACACAGGGAAGCAGATTCCCACCAACCAACACCTTCAAAGCTCACCAATATACAGGCTATATTTCAATAGGCCAATTTTAACTGTTCACTAAAATGTAAAAATAAAGAGGACTTTATGAGCAGACAGGTTCCTGATGAGTTACAATGTCTTAAAAATGAAGCTACATCCAGCAGCTGGTTGGCATACCGAAAACAGGGGCAAAAAGCTAGCATGGCTCTGTCTAAATGTAACTAAATCATCTGCGGACACCTCTGTAGCGAAAGTAATTAACATGCTAGCCTGTATCTTGGGGGTCATGCCTATGTTTCCCGGGTTCTATGTTCCCCACTTAACCCTGCAAAAACGGTTCTATGTTCCCCACTTACACAAAAAGGTTCTATATTTCCTGCTTGGTTGAGCGGGGAACATAGAACTCGGGAAACATAGAACCTTTTTTGTGTAAGCGGGGAACATAGAAGCTTTTTTGCAGGGTTAAGTGGGGAACATAGAACCCGGGAAACATAGATACGCTCCCTTTTAAGCATGAACACAGTTGCCAGGTACAAGAAGCTAACATTATGTTATAAATCAGACTGCTGTCACATGACTTAATGTCTCCACCACAAGAAGGCTGTAAAGCTGTGTTCAGCATGATGACAGCCTGTGGTCTCAGTCAGCCACATGTTAGCAGCTGCCTTGTTAAGACACCAAAAAGCTTCAAAATTCAATGTACTGATGTATTTTATGTTGTCGAACCAAAATGAGAATCACTGAAGCTCGTGTTAACTACAGACCGAATTTCAGGCATTCAACCAAAAACCAACTGACAGACAAGGAAACAGGAAGTGCTAACTAATTCCCACATTTTAGGACTTATTCCTGTAGCACTCTTTAGGTGGACTGTATTTCCCTTGAGCCCTGCTGGCTGTTTCCCGTGTGTCCAGTCTTTGTGCTTCATGCTAAGCTAACGGGCTGCTAGCTCAAGCAACATAATTCACTGTACAGACTATGCATTTAGCCCAGCTGGAGCCAGGATGTGGTTAGCTCAGCCTCAGCATAAGGAGTGGAGGAAGGGCGAAAGTAGCATGCCTGTCTGTGTCCACACCTAGCTGACTAATTAACACATTAAATGTTTATTTAATCACAGCCAAAACTGAAACAACAATCTGTGGTTTTGGAGGGATAATTAGTGTACTTCAGAGGTGTTGGTAGTTCTGAACCAGCCTGTTCCTGTGCTTCCAGTGTTTATGCTAAGCTAACCACAGCCTTGCTCCAGCATTTAACACAAAGACATGGGTAAAAATCTAATGAGCATTCTACACAGCAATAAGTATTCTTCATTCATTCATTCATTCATTTATTATCTATAACTGCTTATCCTGTTGAGGGTCACGGGGGTGGGGGGGCGCTAACCACTACACCCCTGAAGCCGCCAAATAAGTATTATCACACTTTTACACTTTTAAACATGGCTGCATCATTTGTATTGGCTCATTGCCTTCTGTAGGTTCAGGTTGCTCTTTTAACTTCGTCCAATATAATTCCCTCCTAATATATATAGCCTACTAAAGACCATCCAGTATCCAGCAGAGGTCAGAATTTCCACTGAAAAATCTTGACTACTTTTTCCATTTTGATTGGATAAAAAACAATGCTTTAAATTGATAATTACATGTCAAAATTAATTAATTTTTAACAAAATGTTTTCATGTGTTATTAGCGATAATGAGTTCTCACTCAGGGAGGAGCGATTGTCCGTCAGCTGTCCATCAAATGATATCCAAGTGCATCTCTGACAGACAGATAATAGACTGTGTGACCTCTACTTAGCAGCCCTTTATTTAGACAACTTGAACTTGACTTGACATTAACTCCTAAGCCGTGAGATTTTCCCATCTGTTGCATTAAAGATTAGAATGAACTCTGAACGCAATCCGCTGCATTCACTTTGGCTTTCTGAGACTCATGAGGAGGCGATACTCAAAATGTCTAAAGCAGTTATTCAATCAATAGAAACACGCCAGTTAAAAAAGGCAAATGAAAGGCAGTTTGTGGCTGTGGTGATAATCCTTGCCCATCATTGTCCTCACACTGAGTATCATTGTCCCATTGACGACAGTCCCTAAGAATCTCATTCCTGATTAATTCTCTGAAGTAGCCCATGTTTAAGATGGAGCCCGTAAGTTCATTGGCTGCTTGTTCATGATTTAGCACCCTTCTCGTCAGTTTACAGCCGTCTAATCTCCCTCTCATGACATCAAATGACTTCACTCAAAGGTGTTGTGTCTGATGTTTACACATTTTGATGTTCTGTTACCTTGGAACATGGCTGGTTGCAGCTGTTTGCATTTAGACACATTAAACACACTGACTCAATAAAAAAATCTATACAGACTAATAGAATTTTACAGTGAAACTCCCTTTTCCTTGTCAATAAAAGGTAGACTGCAGCGCCCTCTGGTGTCATTGCTGAGAAACCACAGGCACATTGTTATATTCCTTGAAGACAGCATCATGTGCGTTATGTGGAGACCTTCAGCAGTATACTTAACAAACCTGATGATACATTTTTGTTGTTGTTGAAACTTTGACACATTTTTTTTTTAATTTCTTAAGCACATGCCTTCAATCCTACAAAAAAAAGTAAAATAAGTTCTCAATGGGGTGGTGTGATAGACACTGAAATAGGAAATTTCAGTCACTGAATAGTACATTTAAATTCCTTATAGAACAAGTTGAATAGTATTTATCAAAACTCATGTCATGCAGACACATGTTACAACAAAAATGTTGTGTACGTCTGGTGATGAGCAGGTAGTATAGAGTAGGCTTATCAGAGCTTTTTATTAGAAAAACAACAGCTGCCTGCTGTGTGTGAGAGTGACACTATGAGAGTAGTGAGAGTGAAGCAAACACTGAAGTTACGGGCCGGACAGATAAACATTGAGCTGAATGTCACCATAAAGCTCTGTAAAGCCGAAGGGAACTGAAGATTCAGCTGATAATTCTCTGTAGGGTCACTAACACTTACTATGTGCACTATGAGCAACCTCCTTCACATTGTCACATTCTCTTCATATTGTAATTTGATACATTGTTATCATAAATTCATTATAGCTGCTTTAAAGACAATGCAAGTCTCCTAAACAGAATGTAGCCTGTAAAGTTGGCAGTAGTGAATCCCCAATGTGTTCAAAATTGAATAAATAAATGAGTAATTATGAAACAGATAATTCCATGAATAAATTATAAAAAAAATAGCCTACACATCCCTACAGTACATATACTGCACACACTATAACTCATTAACATACTTAATGTCTAATAATTACAACCTAGTACTGATTAGTGTAAATAACAGCCTTTCACCATTTATAGTTATATAGCCTAAACAGTGACTTGGGGATATTATGGGCTGTATTACTTCTTCCAAAGGTTTTCCACTGGCTAGAATGGGTTTTTCCTTCAAATAATGGACCATTTATTTAGAAACATACTAAAGCATGATGCATTCACTTTGTTTTCACCTAATGAACAGCAGTTAGTTATGTAAGGTGAGCGCGTCAATTAGTAAGTAGCATGTCTATGCAGCCCCTCAGTGGCTTTAAGTTAAGACTTAGCCGCGATGAAAATGAAATTGTTGTGGCTTATTTGTAAGTGATGTTATCACTTACAAATAAGCCACAACAATTTCATTTTTCAGTGAACCGCTCCTGAAAGTGGCAGCCCTCGCTGTCAACTTTACTCTTCTTTGCCATGGCCATGTCTGCTACTTATCAGAAAATATCTGCTGTTATAGGTAACTACTCCATTTGCATATTTATGAAAACTCATGAATTCCACCACAGCTCCTACTTGGTGCATGTCTACAAACCATTTGATAGTCCTGCCATCATGAGGTAAATGGAAAAAATGCAAGTGATCTTGCTCGATATATATTGTGTGGTGGACAACATATAGTATACTTTGAACAACAAACTGGACAGTGTGCGGGCCACAACTGGCCCCCATCCGACATGCTTGGCACAGAGAAGGTTTCAGTGGGTTGCAATTTGCAAACTCACCACTATACCCTGATACCAATGAATCCTAAATCCTACACAGCAGACCTTTAATGAGATTATAATCTTGTTTATTCAAAAAAAAAAAGAAAAAAAACTGAGCAGATTTTTCTCAAGTGGATGCATTACACTTTTGTATACACTTCTGTGGAAACATACTGTCCAGTGAAAACTATGTAGCCTAGTTATATCTCTACTTTTTTGGGTTTTAACAAGGATTACAGGATTAGGTTGAAAAAAGTTTCTTAAATTTAAAAGTTTTAAATACTCACCGGATAGTCTCCAAGGTGTCAATGTGCAAACCAGAGTGTTTTCCCCAGAAGTATTACATGTTTATGGACAGGCGGGTAATGTTATGATCAGGGAAACTCCACAGCTAACCAACTAACTGACCAACTCTTGGTCACGTGGGGTTAACTGTTGTCACGACAACCGTTAATTAGCATGGGCGGGCAGAGCTGTCTGAGCATCTGTACACATTTTTTACTAAAACTTTACATCATCCACAATTTGAGAGTGACACGGGACAATGTCGGATGTAGGATTATATCAATTTTATGACGGACGCAGTAAACTCGGGGTGAGACGATAAACATGTTAGATACTCAGTTCGGTTTGTTGTAATGACGGTAGCTGGCAGAAGCTAACATTAGCATAAACTTACCCCGTTAGCTGATAGCAGTTGGTGTGTGTTTGTAGGAAGACAGGTGGCGTTATTTCTTCTGTCTTTGGATACAAACTCTGGTTTGTTTGGCGCAGGAATATGAAGAAGACAGAAATGAAGCAGGAGAGAGACACGGAGTCGGTAAAGCTGTTCTGCCCAACGGAGACATTCATTAAGGACAGTACGAGAACGGCAGAAGACACGGACAGGTATGACGTGCTGAGTCCTAATCAAGTCCACCTCTTCACGTTAACACAACAGGTCTCAATGGTGCCGAGTGGCCACAGCAAACCGAGTGGTCGTCACACTTTTTAATACAATATGAATCCCTTAAAAACTCTTCCCTTTTAATGTGTGATGGAAGCCTGAAATGTCGGGTAGGAATGGACTGACCTTACTCTCCTTAAGCTTATTGTGTTCAAAAGATATGGATTGTGATAACGTATGCATCTTGTGCACTTGTGACAACTATCCTATTTTGGGGTTGGTTGTTTAATTAATTAAAAGGTAAAAGTTTTGTTTTGTCTAAGATTTTAATTGATAAAGCAAAGAGTTTTCAGGTGCTCACGGATAAATTTAGCTTGCAGAACCGAGAGCTTTATACTTACAGATGAGTGATTATATTGGTAAGAGAAAAAAAAAAGGAGAACATGATCATAGAAAATGAACGACTCCAAATATATAGCATATGAGAACTTATGCTGCATTCTATTGGTAGCCGGAACCGGGGTTGATACGGTTTCTGGTCTGGAAAGGTACAAAAGAAAACCCGTTCTACCCGGAGGTCTAGTCATCAAACTCGGGCAAGGTCCAGGTAGACCGAGTCGGTAGAAATGACGTCACGACGAAGATGGCTGTGCACATTGTGAATGGTAAACAAAGTTATTTGTCCTCCATTTGTCCTCGTATATGCTGTTTATTAAGCGTTTGTGTTGTAAAAAATCATACAAGTACTTTGCAATGGCATTTCCGTTTCCACTGTTGATTTGTGTTGCCAAATCCAGGCTGGTCATTCCTTGTTGGATTTATATGACCGTATGACACGTTTGATCTGAAAGCGTTTCATTGCAACAGTCCAGAAAACCTGGCGGTGCGCCATAAGTTTGTTTTTGTTTGCATGGTTGCTGAGCACTGGAGAATAGAAAAGTCATAGCCATAGACTTTGCTGGTTCAAACGACTTTAGGCTACAACGGGCTTGCACAGACTTTTTTTCCAACACAAATCAACAGTGGAAATAGAAATGCCATTGCAAAGTACTTGTATGATTTTTACAACACAAACGCTTAATAAACAGCATATACGAGGACAAATTGAGGACAAATAACTTTGTTTACCATTCACAATGTGCACAGCCATCTTTGTCGTGACGTCGTTTCTACCGACTCGGTCTACCTGGACCTTGCCCGAGTTTGATGACGAGACCTCCGGGCAGAACGGGTGTTCTTTGTACCTTTCCGGACCGGAAACTGCATAAATCCCGGTTCCGGCTACCAATAGAATGCAGCATAATAGTGCGTTTGTTTTGTACTTGGAGGTCGGAAATTCCCAGTTCCCAGCCAGAAGTTTAAACTCGAACGCAGTCTGAGGTTGGATTTCCCATAGACATTAGGTTCGTTTGAGATGAGCCAGGCCTGCGCAGATTCGATCACCGCCGATCGGCGCACAATGCATGCCGGTTAGTTTTGTGTCCGACTTCATCCCGACTTGCTCTGACGTATTACAGAAGTGGACGGCGATAAAACCGCGAGAGCGAGGCGGCCGCAGTTTTTAGAGCCAGGCCCTGCAGTTGCTCTCCACCGACTGCAGCGCCTGGCTCTCACCTGATCTAACAGCTGATTGGTTAAGATGTCGACTCAACAATATGACGTTTTAGATAAACTACTCATTTTTGTTGAATTTTAGAGATTAAGATTGTATTTGTCTGATCTGAAGGTTTATTCTGTGAACAGAAAACATGTTGTGTGACTGATGGTGATGTTTAGTTGTCAGAGACTGAATACATTCATCATAAACTATACAGATTCTACTGTACTATATTAATATTGGGCAGTTTAATTATTGAAGTATTTAGCAACACAGAGACTTGTGGTCAGTGGGATGTGAGGATTCTTAAAATAACATCAGATGTGAAGCCCTGACAGTATCTGACTGAGCCTTAATGAAAGCTGTTGTCTTGTATTTTTTTCCCTCTGAAAATATGAACCTTATAGTCAAACACAGTTTATTCAGCCTGTGTAGTTGAGGGGACAGGTCAAACTGATATGATGCTGATTTACAGGAGAGTTCATGTCAAATAGAGGATAAACCATGAACATAAACTACAGATCACCTGTAAAGCATTTTAATAAATTAATCTATAAGCGCTTTGGAAAGCAGAGCTAAATGGTAAACAAACATGGCAGCACACCGGTAAGGTAAGACAACACGTTTACATGTTGTTTTCTATATGTTCTCTGACATTTATCCTAACGATATGAGGCGGTCTTTGTGGAAAAAAAGCTTGTTTAGTGGGCTAACTTTGCACTTGAAGGTTGCCCGTTCACTTACGTTTTAACAGGTCTGACGCTACTATGCGCCCCGGCTGTATCTAGGCTAACGGCTAACATGCTAACTATTATTTTTATGTCACTAGTGACTTGAAACAAATTTAGGACGATAGGAGACAAGTTGAAATAAATCGAAATTTCCCTTTAAGAATGAAAATGAAAGCGTAATTCCTAAGATATCTGGTTTGATGAAAAGTGGCTGTGTCTTAAGTCATTAGACTGAAAGGCCTACCCAACAAAGAAGTTGCCTACGGGTTACATCTGTAACAGGAAACCGATGGAATTGGGAGCCGGCGATGTTTTTATTCCCACAGCTGGGGAAATCACAAGTTTGCACCATTTTGGTATTCCTCTGTTTACCTACAGCAGCTGACGAGGGTGTGTCGTGAGCCTGAGCCGGTGTTTGCACTGTAGTAGTAGGTATATATAGGGCTAGTACATCTTTTTCCTCACTAATAATAGACTGCTGGTTCTCTGTTGGAAACAGCCGATGAAGTTTTCGTTAGCCGTTGCTATCCTGCGCACCTGCACGGCATGGTGATGAACTGTCTTATTGATTTCTGTTGGCGTGCTGTCTTGCGGGCCTGCACAGCGGAGTGATACTGGCCAGAAAATAGTCCCAATTGATAGCAAGGTCTGACGTAATGCGGGGATGTTTTAAAATTATTGAAATAGTCTAACAAAACACATGCATACTTTTTTGTAGCTTAAAACCTTTTGGTTACGTGTCCCCCTTATATCTTCAGAACTGCTTTTTCTCCTTTAAGCTACGGGCGATTTCTCAAAGCAGGAGGCTCGTTGAGAGTAGTGACACCGTCACATCAGAGCTACAGATGGTCAGCGTTTCACACAACTTCATGTCCAAAAACCCGAACTATCCCTTCAAGTCTGGTAACTTCCACGTATAATTCTGAGATATTGCAAAAAAAAACAAAAAACATCTGCAGTTCATTCTTAATTGACCAAACATGAAACCCTACTATCAGTCCATTAATTATCAAACAGCAAGTATAAATTTATATTATCATCTTGTAGATGAGAATTGTCTGACATTTATGACACAAATCAAACTTCAATCCAATAAGGAACATTACAGTTTTTCTCAGTTGCTTTGGTGCATTTCTCTGATCAGAATTAAAATTCTCATAACTATTAGTTCAACCTCCACAACATTTAATCATTTGTGCACACCATAATAGCAGTTTCTCATTCCTTCCAACAAACTGCAAATTAGGGATGCACCGAAATGAAAATTTGTGGCCGAAGCCAAAGCCGAATAATATTAAACGCTTGGCCGAATAGCGAGTACCGAATACTGAATGCCGTTTTTTAGTTTTTCATTAGTTTTTGCAGATGAACCCCCCCCTAGATTAGTGTTGTCATGGTACCAAAATTGGATCCCATTGTACGATACCAATGAAAATATCACGGTTCTGAGTAGTATCACGATACCACAGCAAAAATGAGGCAGATGTGCCTTTTGTCATTTATAAAAAGATANATACCACAGCAAAAATGAGGCAGATGTGCCTTTTGTCATTTATAAAAAGATAAATCATTTTTCTATAGTACATCAATGATATTTCAAGGGAATAAATTACTTATTGACTTATTCATACTTCAAAAACATCATCAATAAGTGATTAACATGGGGGGGGGGATCAAAATAAAATAAATAAATAAAATAAAAATCAACCAGCCACCCTCCTCCCCTGACAAGTAAAGAACAGTCCCTAAAGTGCGGTGAGGTTTGTGGACCGTTACCTGCCACATAGAGAGAAATGTGAACGGCTCGTTTCTCCTCTGATACGCCACATACTGTGTGCCCCCATGGCTCGGCTGTTCAGGTACTTTTGGGCAGTCATGACAACAAGTTATTCACCTGGAGCCGGACTTCTCCGTCGCCGGTAAGCCATTATCATGCGCCGCCGTATTTGACAGGAATACGTATTCCTGTCCATGTCTGTGACCCCCGTTCAACCCGCAACTGGTGGGATTCGCTGTTTCGTTTCTGCTGCTGGTTGAAATCTGTACTCACACAACGTGCTGAATGATTTTTTTTGCCCGCACAAAACTATTTTTAGTCGCAAATGCGAGTGTGGTGACGGACGGAGTAAAATATCGCCACACTGCCAACATTTTACTTCGTCCATCACCACAAGCTGTTTGATTGCGTTTTTAAAACACGCCGCTATTATTTGGCCTTGCTTTTCAGTTATTCCACAGAATACCGAATGTGTGTTTTTTTGCAATATTTGGCCGAATACATTCGGTTACCAAATATTCGGTGCATCCCTACTGCAAATGCTTTTGGACATGCATCAATTGCTTTCATACAATTCTCTGCGGTTTTATAACATTATCATTTGCTTATGCCATGTCAGTCAAAATGAACTATACTTATGAATGCTGAATAGTCATTCCCTATAAAACTAATAGTCCTCATTTCATTGCTTGAGTCATCATTACATACAAAAATGTTGTCAAAATCTGTCAAATTTTATACATTTCTTTATAATTTTTTCCTGAAAATGTCTCCTAAATTAGCAATTTCTCTCAGATGAACCTCAGCTTTCACTGATGAAGAGGAGTGTGTGAAGCATTAGTTGTAACCAATGATAAGCCACTTCTCCACAGTCACTCAAAACTGAATCCCATGAAC